TTTATTATTATTAAACTTGAAGCAAGAGCTGGGGACATACACCTCAGATGGTAGAGTGCCTTATGCATACATGAGGCCCAGGTTTCTGATGCCCAGCACCACAGGAAAAGAAAACGAAAAAAGCCATCTGGAGTGGAAAGTGAGGGCAAAGACTCCCGCCCCCACCTGCCACAGGGGGCTGCTGTGACCTCACCCTGGCTCGGCCCAGGCATGCTCTGTGAAAATCAAGGCACAGAGGTGGGGACTTTTGGATGTCCTCAGGTGCTTGGCTTGCTTTGCTAACCTTCATTGAAGTTGCCGCAGTAAAAGCTGTATCCTATGTAAGGAAATTTTTTTTAAAGGTTCATTTTCAAAACAAAAGTGTCTTGGGCCAGCTTAGATCCAACGACAGATGAGCAACAACAAAAACCAGTGGATCCTGCTAGCATCTGCTAGTCTAGCTATTGCCCCCAAACTCTGCTAGCCTAGCTCCCCCAACCCAAACCAAAGATTAAAAGTACAGAATTATTGACAGCCAAGCTTGCCCAATGACTGGCCAATGTGACAAGGTCATGCGTGCACACACACACACACACACACAAAGATTAGTTATTCTAAAAAACCTGCAAAAACCTATTTGCATGCACTCCTACGACACACTCTCCATTTTCTTATTTCTTCATTTACTTTTTTGTCTTCTTATTTTTTAAATTTATTTTTATTTTTAAACATATTTTATTTATTATTTTTATTTTATGTGTATGCATGTATTGCCTGCATGTAGGTAAGTGCACCATGTCATTGCAATGCCCACGGAGGACAGAGAGGCTGTTGGATCCCCTGGAACTGGAGTTACGGACAGTTCTTAGCTGCCATGTGGGTGCTGGGATTTGAACTCGGGTCTTTTGCAAGAACAGTCAGTGTTCTTAACCGCTGAGCCTTCTCTCCAGCCCCCAGTCTTTTTATTTTTATTTTACATTTATGAGTGTTTTGCTTACATGTATGTAAATGCATGCAATACCCGTGGAGGCCAAAAGAGAATGTTGAATCCCCTGGAACTGAAGTTATGAATGGTTGTTAGCCACCATGTGGGTGCTGGCAACTGAACCCAGGTTTTCTGCAAGAGCAGCCAGTGCTCTTAACCTCAGAGCCATCTCTCCAACCCCATACATATACCCACCATTTTTTTTTAAATCTCTGTTGGGGGTGCCTAGCTTTGCATGATCATAAAATAAACTGCTTTCTTTACATTGCGTCTCCAGCACTGTCAGTAGGAGTGGGAGTCTTTGTTCTTCGCACCCTGCAGGTCAGTGGAGGGATAGATTCTCTACAGTGGAACTGTAATGCCCAGGGGCAAGCCACAGGGTTCATGAGTGTTTTTCCCACAGGGAGAGGGACTGATAGAGTGCAACCCCCTTCCAGAAGCCTGAGGGAGAGCCATTTTTGTTCAATTGTGCTATCTTTATCTTTGCATTCTGGAAGTATTCTGGAAGCTCTCCTGGTTCCTTTGCACCCCCAGTGGTGTTTTCTTCTAAACAAGATACAAGTATTTTCTTCACATGATATTTTGTTATATCTTTGTACAGGAATCTTTGCTTACATGAACTACAGAGTTCCCAAGACAAGGAAGGAGATTTTTGAAACCCTTATCAAGGGCCTGCAGCGTCTAGAATACCGGGGCTACGACTCGGCAGGTGAGTTCTGGTTTCTGATGTTCTTCAGGGTAGGGTTATTACAACCTGGGCATTTTCCTGGTACTTCTTAACATTCCTTTTGTTTTTTTTTTCTGGTCTTTTTTTGAGACAGGGTCTTCTTGTAGCCCCAGCTGGCCTGGAACTCACTATGTAGACCAGGCTGGCCTCGAACTCACAGAGATCCTCCTGCCTCAGCCTCCTGAGTGCTGAAATTAAAGGCGTGTGCCACCATGCCTGGCTTAATATCCCTTTTTAATATAAAAACCATACTTGTCCATTAAAACCATATGGCTTAAAAACCATAGAAAAATAGATAAAACATTTTTTTAAACTATAGTAAAGAAGAAACAAGTGTTTAAAAAGTTTCTATCAAAAGTGCCATCATCCCCGCCAGTGGGCAAAATGTACAAAGTTTCAGTTGTGCAAGATGCATAAGTTCTGGAGATCCCAGACAGCATACGGTATGTTTACTCAAGAGAGTGAATCTCATGTAAATAATCTTATCACATGCGTGTGTGCACACACCCAAATGCTGACGATAAGAGGACAGGAGGGAACTTTGGAGGTGAAGAAGAAGTTTATAGATAAATTTTAGGGTATTTCCATAGGTAGGTACTTGTAAGTTCATCAAGTTGTATACATTAGTATTTATAACTTGCTGCCTGAGTAAATTCCCCTCCAGCAGTACCTTGTCCCTCTTCCTCCAGTCGCTGTTGTAGGTATTGTCTGTGTTGAGAATGGGTAGATTTTGTGTATGGATTTTTTTCTTTAATCGTTATTATGCAGTTTTGTAATAGTTTGGCTAGTTAGGGTGCTAGAGGCTGAACGCAGGGCCTCCTACATGCCCAGCACACACTCAGCCCCTGTGATCTTATTTTCTTCTTCCTTCATTTTTCTTAGCATTGCCTTTTTTTTTTTTTTTTTTTTTTTGAGTGTAGTCCCAGCTGTTCTGGAACTCACTATGTAGACCAGGCTGGCCTCAAACTCACCAAGATCCACCTCCCTCTGCCTCCCGAATGCTGGGATTAAAGGCTTGCACCACCATGCCCAGCACATTGCCACTTTTCTAAACCCTTCCTGAATATCCTTCTTTTTTATTTTTTAAATATTTTATTATTATTTTTAAATTTTATGTGTATATTGCCTGTATATATATGTAAGTGCACTCATGTTGTGCAATGCCCCACAGAGGTCAGAAGAGGGTGTTGGATCTCCTGAAACTGGAGTTAGGAATGGTTGTTTGCCACCATGTGGATGCTGGGTTAACTGAACCTGAGTCCTCTGCAAGAGTAGCCAGTGCTCTTAACTGCTGAGCCATCTGTCCAGCCACCCCCCCCCTCCCAAATATCTTTCTATCTAGCTATGCAGTCCTCATTGAATGAGGACTCAGGCTCCCTCCTCCACTGGCCAAACAGGTGTTTCCCATTTTTATTTAAGCAATTTGCAGAGTAAAGGAGACTAGATGGTCTTCTGTCCCTTTGAGTTCTTAACAGAACGCAAATCCAGTGCAAGGTTGCAGGCATGCTAATAGAGAGGAGATAGCAGCCTGGAGGTCACAATGCAAACAAAGCACAGCTGGATAAGTGCTCTTCAATAGCCTCTGACCCTTCCGTGGTGGGGGTGGCTGGCCTCTGGTTGCCCAAGGATCCCACCACACACATCTCTGCCAGCATCTTTGCTATTGTGTGAAGTACTGACACATTTTGGCTTCCTTTTTCAGAACAGAAATCCCCTAAAAACAGTATGGTTCTCTTTGATTAGCAAGCAGGGGAAGAACTGTGGTAAAGGCTGGAGGTATGGCTCCCCAGTGAAGCACAGGCTTGGTATGTGTGAGGCCCTGGGTTAGATCCCCAGCACCAACTGCAATAAACAATACCATGTGACCTAAATCCTGGGTGGTATATTCACTCCCCAGTGTCCATGGGGGGATGGGTTCTAAGAGGCCCCAGGATACCAAACTCCTGAGATGCTGAAATCTTTTCTATAAAATAGCATGATATTTGCATATGGCCTATTTGTACCTCCTCCCAGATACTTTGAATCATCCTTAGATTATTTATAATACCTGCTGCAGTCTAAGTGCTGTGTGAATCATTGTGCTGCTTTGTCTCAGGGATTATGGCAAGAAAAAAGTCTGCACATGTTTGGTGTAGATGCAGTTTTATTTATGTATTTATGTATACATATGTGCGTGGTGTGGGAATGCACATGCACAGGTACATACATGTGTCTGGAGGTCAGTGGTCCACCTTATTTTTTCAAGCAGTGTCTCTGGTTTGTTGGCCTAGGACTTTTTTTTTTAATGGAAGAAAGATTTTATTTTGGCTTATGGTTCCAGAGGGATAAGAGGCATGGAGGCCAGAACAGGAAGCTAAGAGATTAGATCATGTCTTAAATGGCAGAGAGGACTTGGAAATGAAACAAGGCCATGAACTTTCAAAGCACACCCCCCCACTTCCTCCTACAGGGTTATACCTGCTAAAGATTCCTTGACCTCCCCAAACTGTACCATCAACTGAGGACCAAGTGTCCAAATAATTGTGCCAATGGTGACATTTCTCATTCAGATCAAGACCTCACAGCTGATGGTTTGTGGCTTCAGCTTACTGAATCTGTTGGCTAAAGATTGTAGGGTCCTTGACACCTGATTCTATGTACCTCTGCCTTCATTTAGATGAACTGCTCCCATCCTCTTGACTTCCCAAGTGGAAAAAGAAGCTCTGTTTCAATGGCCCTAGCTCAGTTAAACTGTCTGAACAGGAAAAAGGAAAGAAAGGCTCCAAGCTTCCTAAGCCCAACACATCAAAAATGCACAGCCCTTTCTCCTCCCTTGAAGACAAGTTCCATTTCATTTGACAAAATGTCAGCTCTGCACAGTCCACTGGGCCTGGCGCCACATGGGCTAGATCAGACTCTGCATACATTCTGGCCGCTGTCTACCCAAAGACAGAGGACAGGAACCCCCTGACCCATGAACAAGGCCACCACCCGTGGCAGAGTGATGTCGAGGCATCTAGGCATTTTGTGGCTATCCATGCCTGGTTACAGAGCATTTCCTATACCTCAGGCCCCACTCTAGGGCCTGACCAAGATTCATAGGTCTGGAGTTGGCTTAGTACAAGACACATGGAATCCTTGGTCCCAGAAGACCAAGGTTGCCACAGGGAAAAGAATAGCCTGATACATGTGGCTCATTGGTTACCTGAGGACTCAGTCAATAACAAGCATACAGAGAAAAATGGAATATAACTTCAGATTGGGACATGCCATCGTGAAAACAAACACTAACGTTTATCTCACTAACATTTAGTCAAGGATCTGTGTGACCTAAAGAACCAGCTCTAAACAAAAGCCACTCCAGGTGTTGGCCTGGGACTTTTGATGCAGCTACCCTAGCTGGCCACTGAGCCCCAGGGATCCACCCGTCTCTGCCTCCCCAACTCTGGGATTGTAAGTAGGTCCCACTCTGCCTGGCTTTTTTATATGTTCTGGGGATAGAACTTAGGTCCTCATGCTAACAGGGCGAGCACTTTACTAACTGGGATATGTCCTCAGGCCCTATTTTATTTTTAAGATTTCTGATTGTCCCTTGGTTGGTCACAGATACAAAGCCCAAGCAGGGATGGCCAGCAGCACCTTGGGATGACAAAGCTTAAATTCTAACATGAAAGACAATGTTTATGCTTTCAGTTTAATGAAGTTTTAAACTGGCCCACTGTGATGGACAGGTGAACAGTGGTTGCCTCTCTTTGAAGGTAGGGAAATTGAATTGACTGATGTAGGATTCCATCTGGGTGGGTGTCTGTGTGGGTCACCCTGGTGTATGTGCTTATTAAAATTCAGTACTTTCTGTAAACATTTTTTAAAATTCTTAAACTGTAGGTGTGGCCATCGATGGGAATAATCACGAAGTCAAGGAAAGACACATCCAGCTAGTGAAGAAAAAGGGGAAAGTGAAGGCTCTGGATGAAGAGCTTTACAGTAAGTGGAGGGTGCTCTGTGGAAGAGCGATTGCTGTGCCCAGGCCCCGAAAGTATTCATTTCAACAGTGTATGAGACTGATGTTAATTTATCTAAGCTTGTATGAATATCAGGAGGGTTAAGCCCATGTTGTGAAACTGTCTCACAGAGTGTGGCATGGTTTTTTTGTTTTTTTTTCTTTTTGAAGCAGGGTCTCCTTGTAGCCCCAGCTGTCCTGGAATTCACTATGTAGACCAGGCTGGCCTTGAATTCACAGAGATCTGCCTGCCTCTGCCTCCCAAGTGCTGGGACTACAGGCGTGCGCCACCACACCTGGCTGGGATGGTTTATTTTTAGACATTGGCACATAGAGACTTTAAAAACTATTTTAATAATTGTGTATTTTTTTCTGGCAAATGATACTGCTTTTCTGTTTATATTATGGTTATATAATTTTCTGTTCTAAGTCAATATATTTTGATTAGGATGTAAGGGCAAGGCATTTTGGCACATACTGTAATCCCAGCACTTGGGAGGCTGAGGCAGAAGAATTGCTGTAAGTTTGAGGATTCCTTCGAGTTTAAGTTCAGTTTGATCTATAGAGAGTTCCAGGTCAACCAGGGCTACATAGCAATACTTTGTCTTGAAAAGAAAAAAAGAAATGGGTTAAGTTACAGATAAATAATAAGTAAACCTCAGCACAGGTGGTACCAGGATGTGGGAGATCCCTGGAGTGCCACATGCATGGTTGAGAGTAAAGATGGGCTGTTGGCGTGGATGATGTGCCTGATACAGTGGAACCATCCTGTCCTGGCAGTGTGGTCCCAATGCTTTTTTTTTTGAGACAGGGTCTCCCTGTAGCTCCAGCTCCCCTGGAACTCACTATGTAGACCAGGCTGGCCTTGAATTCACAGAGATCCGCCTGCCTCTGCCTCCCGAGTGCTGGGATTAAAGGTGTGCGCCACCACGCTCAGCCCAATGCTTATTTTTAAAGTACAGAAAATTGGTTGGGGAGATGGCTCTGCTTGCTCTGCAAGCTTAAGGACCAGAGTTCTGATCCCTCGCACCCACTAATATGTAGAGTGAGCACAGCTGCCTGCCTGTAATTCCAGCTCTCAGAAGGCTGAGGCAGGGATAGCCAGACTAGCTGCAGTGGGACCCTCCCTCAGTGAATAAGGTGGAGAACAATCAAGGAAAAAAAATCACTGTTAACCTTGGGCCTCCATATGTATGCACACACATGCAACAATACATGTACATACACCACACATATATGCACAAAACTAAAATAAAATATAGCAACTGATTTTACCTTTCATTTAGAACAAGATAGCATGGACTTGAAGGTGGAGTTTGAGACACACTTTGGCATTGCACACACTCGCTGGGCCACCCATGGGGTCCCCAATGCAGTCAACAGCCACCCACAGCGCTCAGACAAAGACAATGGTGAGTAGTCTGGCCTTGCTTCCCTATCCAGGCAGCACATTTCTGTCTCTCCCTTTGTGACCTGTCAAAGATGATCCTGGTCCATGGATGCTGCTGACCTCCTAGGTACTCACAGAAAAATGATGACACTTTACCACAAACACTGCTGGCTCTTTAGAACCCGGCCTAAGAGTGGAATATAACAGTGTATTAATTCATTTTCTATTGCTATAGCAAAATACTTGAAGCTTAATACTTTATGAAGACAGGAGATTTATTTAGGGGTTGAAAGTCCATGATGAGGCAGTGCATCTGGTTGTTCTCTGGTGAGACTCCCCTTGACCTTAGCACCACATGGTAGAAAAGCAGGAAAGGAAAGTGGCTGCAGGAAGAAGGAGCCAAGTGTTCCAGGCGGCCTCCCTTTATAACAACCCACTCTCTCGGGAGCTAACCAGGATCCCATGGAAACTACATTGGTTTCTTCTGAAAGCATGTCTCCAATAACCTCCCCTTACATTCTGTCTCTTGTTTATTTATTTATAATATTTTATTTAATATTTATATATGGATATGTGTTTGGATCCAGTCCACTCCCATTCCTTCCCCTCCAGGTCCTCCCCTACCACCCTCCCCCTTTTCCCTTCTACCTTCATGTGCTCTCTTCCTTTTTAATTTAATACCCACTGAATCTAGTGCTGCCTGTATGTACATGGGTGTGGGACCATCAACTGGAGCATGGGTAGCCTCTCATGGCCCACATCCCTGAAGAAAAATGACTCTCCCTCTCTCAGTAGCCATCAACTGCCAGTAGCTCCTCAGATAGGGGTGGAACTTCATAAGCCCCTCTCCCATCTGTCTGGGATTTTGGTTGGCTTGATCTTGTGCATACTGACATAGCCACTGTGATTCAGGTGTGCTATCACACTGCCATGTTTGGCAAATACTTTTGCTACAGGCATCCGCTCCCTCTGGCTCTTATAATGTTTCTGCCCCCTCTTTCTTGATGATCCTTAAGCCCTGGTGGGAGGGGCATGATATAGATGTCTTACCACCTGCTACATTGGGAGTATGTGATACAGGCGTCACATCAGCACCCTGAGGACTCAGTATCATGCACTGAGAGCTTGAAGCATATACTCAACCCATGGGAGGCAGAATAAGATTGAAGGGCAAAGACACTGCTCCTCCCAAGAAGAGCCAAATGTTCTAGAAGCTGGGACCTTAAGGAAAGCATGGAGCTCCGTTTACATCAGCTGAACCCATCTCCTCCCCTAGCAGAGAGTGGTCCTTAGCGAAGGGAGTTGACACTGCTGATCATGGTTAATATCAAAGTACCTGCTCCAACCCTTGGGTCCAGAGGGAGGCCTCAGTAGCCAAGGGTTTGGAGACACAGAGGCTGCAGCTGTCAGCTTAAGAGCTCTTCCCAACAGGAGAGCCCTTGACATGGTTTGCTTCATGTTTTTTCCAGCTTGAGAGTTATTGTACATAAGTGGTCAGGTCTCTGGCATCCATTGAAAAACAGGAAGATAGGGACACAGTGGGCTCAGGGTACTTTAGAGTACCACTGATTGGCAGCAGGCCAGGGTCAGAAAGCAGAGATGTGGGGACTGCTCATAGCAGTCTTTGGTGGGTTTGGAATGGCTCAGCTCTCCCAACTGCCCCCTTGTTCCAGCCCAGTTTATGGGTCCATTTCACTGGTCTGGGCCCCAGGGATGGTTCTTAAATGACACCCTAGCCTCCTCTCTCATGAGGGAAAAGACGAGCAGGTCTGGAACCCCCAGTGACAGCTCTTGAGGTTTCTGTGGCCAGGTTCCAAGGCATTGCAGTCCCCTGCAGTTGGACCTAGGAGAGTATGAAATAGAGAATTTAATCGAAGGGCAGGCAAGAGTGTGAGACAAAAGCTGGGCCTCCAACTGGATCTCTATTTAGGGTTAGGCCTTGTCAGGTGAGGAGCCCCAACCACCCACACTTCCCTGTGATGGAGAGGAGTAATGTCCAGCAGAGAAAAAAATTTCTGAAATCAAAGGGAATTAATTGCAAGACATCCCCTGGTAAAGTGCAAGCTCTTGCTGAGATTCCTATTTGAATAAGACTTAAATGCATGTGAATAGCTGTTGGGAGCTGCTTAGCAGACACTTGATAAGTCTCACTGCAGCTCATCCTCAAGAAGTCAGACCAGGAAGAAAGCAAACCCTCCCTGCTTCTGTCCTTTATCCACTGGGGTCAGAGTACCTCTGGGCAGCGTGCAGAGCCAGGCAAGAAGGGCAAGCAAGCCACCCCACGGCAGAAGGTGTGGCTTCTCTCTCAGCCCTATTTGGAAGGGAAAGCATCTTCTAAAGAGAGGAGAGCTGATCAGCTGGAGGTAGCTTGGGCTAGAGAAACATGTGCATGATCAGAGTCTTGAGGGAGGTGTTTATTAGAGGTTCTTCCTTGAGTCTGTTCTGTACTCTGAACCATGGAATAGCCGTAATGTGGGCAGGTACTCCATACCTAGAAGAACAGCAGACTCTATCATGCAGAATACCCAGCCAAATGGCACTGAGATGCAGAAGCTGCTTCCCAGAGCATAGTGCTATGCCCTGAGGTGTTGGCAACTGTACAGCCACACAGCCTCTTGCCCGACCTGGTGACAAGGTGAACACCATCAGAAGTACCTCCGCTGGAATGCACACTATGATTTTGATTGTGTCCCTAAGGTAGGGAGGCTCCAGGGAAACCTACTCACTTCCAAATTTGTTGGAAACTCCTGTTTTGATTCAGGATGACTAACTATAAATGTAACATGAGCCATCTGTGGAGATTTGTCAAATTTCTTGAACTGTCACCAGTGATAGTCAAAAGAACATGCTTTCAAGAAAGTCTTCTACCCAGCCACTAAATGGCATTACACTGTTTTTTCAGGGCTGGGAATGGCTCCATGATAGAGCCCTTGCCTAGCATGCATGAGGCCCTGGGTTCAACCACTGACCTGAAAAATGAGAATGGCAGCAATAATAGCTAAATAATAGCTGAAATGGTTTTGCAGAAAAACATGAACAAATAAGACCATCACCTGTGATGAACTAAATATGACAGAATTAAGAAAATGATGGAAAGAAACAATAGATATGAAAGGATATAGAATCATTTAGTAGAGATGCAACATATGGATGATGGGTGCTCCCAAGAAGACATCAGAGCAAGTGAAACTGAAGAAAAGTTACATTAGGCTGGGGAGATGGCTCAGATGGAAAAGTGCCTGTCATACAAGTATGAGGACCCGAATTCGATCCCCAACACCCAGGTAAAAAAGTGAGGCTCAGTGGCATGTGTCTGTAATCCCAGTGCTGCGGAGGTACAGATAGGAGACTTTGGAGCTCGCTGGCCAGCCAGTATAGATAGCCAAGTCAGTGAACTCCAGGTTCAGTGAGAGACTCTGCCTCAAAAAACTAAGGTAGAGGGCCTGTGAGATGACTCAGCAGGCCTTTTACCAGGTAAAAGCTGTGCAGTTCTGATGAACTGAGTTTAATCCCTGGAACCCACATAAAGGTAGAACCAGCTCCACCAAGTTGTTCTCTGCCTTCATGCCTCCCCCTATAGACTGGTAATAAAACAAATTAATTTTTTGGTTTTTTTTAAAAAAAATTATATGTACAAGTGTTTTACTTGTATGTATGTAAGTGCACCACATGTGTGCAATGCCCATGGAGGCCAGAAGAAGTGTTAGATTCATAGAACTAGAGATGGTTGTTGGTCACCAGGTAGGTGCCGGGAACTGAACTCGGGTCCTTTGCGAGAGCAGCCAATGCTTTTAAACACTGAGCAATTTCCCCAGCCCCATAAAACAACAAAAAAAGTTTTTACTTGTTTTTTTGAACAGGGTCTCCCTGTAGCCCTAGCTAGCCTGGAACTCACTTGGTAGACCATGCTGGCCTCAATCTCACAGAAATCTACCTGCCTCTGCCTCCTGAATGCTGGGATTAAAAGTGTGCTCCACTGCTCCCAGCTTCCGTAAAACAAAATTTAAAAGCTAGGGTAGAGAACAATCGAGGAATTGAGGATGTCCATATCTGACCTCTACACATGCATACATATATACCACACTCACACACATAAACCACATCTCTGAACTAGCCACATCTCTGAACTGCTGGTTTGTGATCCCTTTAAGAGCTAAAACCTGTTGGGAATGTCTAGAATTTTTTCTGGATAATGGAGAGTTAGTCTTCCTTTATTTGACATAAATTAAAGAAGTCTTTTTGATAATACCCAAAGTCAGAGTTCTATACATGGTCAGGTGCTGGACGCTTATCAGGTTTAAATTGTAATCACCATAGAAATCAGTCTTAATCACTGCAGATGAAACTTGCTTAGTAGAAGTCTTTGTTGGGGAAGAATTTGCAGTTTTCAAGCCATGGAATCATTTCTCCTTAGCATCTGACTTTTCTTATTTGTTCTTTTCTCTCCTCCAAACTTTTATTTCAGAGTTTGTTGTCATCCATAATGGGATCATCACGAATTACAAAGATCTGAGGAAATTTCTGGTAAGGTGCTTCCCCTGGGTAACGTCAAATTTGAGTTAGTATTCATCTCCCCGCAGACACTTTCCAACCCATTCATTGCCCACTGACAACAAATACAGGAACTGAGTGAGACCCACTCTCAGCTACACCACAGCTCTGAGCTTGAACCTCAGCCCCAGCAGAACCACAGTGCTTAGACCTTGGAGAGATACGAGCATGTTAACGCTTATCTTGAGGGCCACTGGGAGAGTCACAGAATCAAAATAACACAGAACTAAAGTAGCTGTACTATGTAACACATCGACTCATACACCAATGGAATGTGGGGTGGGAAGCCAGACGGTGAATGTCCACAGTATGAAAAGGTTGTATGGTGTGGGTTAGGATGTGGGTGGATTTGACTCAACATATTTTATCATTTTGACTGCTGTTATTTTGCAATGTCCAGATTAATGGTGAAGACAAGCTTCCGAGGAAGGGTGATCTGTGGGGTAATGGGATGATTCAGAGGTGTTTGGCTGTATGGTTCTGGCAAACATTTTTTTCGTCCCTTCCCAGTTTTGCTTATTCTTGCCTTAAGTCATATCGTAAGGGACTAGAGGGAGTTGGTCGGGCCAGTGTTGTGGAATGACAAATATCTGTCACCCTGGGTACAACCCCATATTCCAGGAAAGCAAAGGCTACGAGTTTGAGTCAGAAACAGACACGGAAACCATTGCCAAGCTGATTAAATATGTATTTGACAACAGAGAGACTGAGGACATCACATTTTCAACATTGGTCGAAAGAGTCATTCAGCAGTTGGTGAGTTACAAGGCCCATCTGTCTAAACATGCCTTCCTCTTTTCATAATCACTTATACAGATTTGCACAAAGTCCTGGGGGTGAAAGATGGTTCATCTATAGCATCTGGACTTAGGAGGTTATGTCCCTGTAGAATCAGGAGACTCTCTAGTTTGGGGAATGAATATCAAACAGAAAATCCTTTGCTTTATTTTAACACTTCTGAGATGGTAGCTGGCATTCTAGTCTACAGCTTCTTATAATTGTGGATTGTAGGCACATGTGACTATAGCTGTCACAGTTCAAGTTGCCATCTTTTCAGTCGAGTTATATGCACTGTTAGTTACATACACGAGATGAACTGATGTTGGAGACTTAGAATTGTAATCTTTCCTCATCAGTAAAGTGGTCACAGAAGAGAACTGTCCTAATTGTGAACAAAATGGAAAAGAAGAGAGGGAGGGAGGAGGAAAGGAAGGAAGGGGATGGAAAAAGGGAGGAAGAGAATGAAGGAATAGAGCCCACAGGTGCAGGTTTCTGAACTGTTTGATTATTAAAGGTGCAGAGCAGTGGCTGTGGGACAACAGATGTTTGCAGTTCCTGAGGATTGTGTTTTTGTGATAGAAGAGCTCAGAGCATATGGACATGCTGAAGGGAATAGCCTAAGAAAAACAGCAAGAGAAACTCATGATGCTTCAAAGGGTCCAAGATGCAAAGTCTTTTACAAAGGGGAATATTACTGGGGCTGAAGGCAGATCCAGGGAGAACTTTCCTTAGAGGAGGAGGGAGAACAGACACAGGCCTGCATGGAATGGGTGGAAGGAGAAGAGGAATGCAGATATCCCAGAGTCCATCTCTCAGGGTATCATGCCATCCAAAAGCCGGTCCAAGGTCATGGCAGTCTGGAGATAGTGTTCAAGGCCCAGAATCCAGGACAGGCTGGGTTGGAGCCTGCTGCAGTAGCACACTGCGGTTTAAGGTGTTCTATCCTCAGGGAGTGTTTTTAGAGTGAATCTACTGTCCAAGCCTTGGTCCTATGGCTCCCTCTTTGGAAAGGGATAATTTGGAGGATTTTCCATGATGTCACCCCTCGGTACCCATAGGGAATTGGTTCCAAGGCCCCCATCAGATACCAAAATCAAGTTTCATATAAATAGTCTTAGTATTTGCATATAACCTATGCCTATCCTCCTGTGTATGTTAAGTCGTCTCTAGATTGTTTATAACACTTATTACAATGGAAGTACTATGTAAATAGTTGTCACACTACACCGTATACTCTAGGGATGATGACAAGTAGTCTGCATGTTCACCACAGAGGAAGCATCATAGACACAGCTATGTTGTCTACATTAGTAACAACATAACATGTTTTTCAGGATTTTTTTTTCCTTTTCTTTCTGATGCTGGGGATCGAGTCCAGGACCTCATACATCCATGGCAAACTCTCCATCACCAAGTCACAGCCCCATCTCCTCCGACAGATATAGAGAGTCAGTTGCACTTAATGTACAATATCACATACTTAGAAAGTACAGTCAACTGATTTGGTGTTTCAACAGTACCTTCTTTCCTGTTTGTGTTGTATTGTTTTGTTTTCTTGCCTTGTCCTGGGGTTTAAATCCAGGGCCTTGTGCATGCTAGACAAGCACTCTGCCATCAAGCACATCCCCTGTGCTCATTCTGTTTGTAGTTTTAAATTTAGACATGCCTTTCTCATAGGGGCGCTTTTAGACTGGTGGCCTTTCTTACCTGGGCCTCTTTTGGATAGAGAATGGGAAATGTATTTCCATTCTGTCGGTCTTCATTGTTATAAACTAAGAAGGGAATATGCCACATTGTCCAAGGTCCCTCTGAAGCCCCTTCTGTCCAGCAGTTTGAAAATCCTTTCAGGCTTAGAGACATTCACCCTTGAATGCCCTGGCTTTGTGGTTCAGTCTGCAAACTGGACATAGCACCTTAGCAGCACAGAGCCTGATGTCTCCTGAGGATCCCAAAATGCAATCTGGAAATTCAGATTTGTAGCTGGCTGTGCATAATTGAGATCTTCTAGGGCTGTGGCAAATTAGTAAAGGATGGTCAGATGCAGGGGATAATTTTGCATGAAGTGGTAAATAGAAAATCCATTTGGAGTCCTGAGTTAGGAAAACTAGACTCTAGTTCTGGCTTTGCTCAAATAGCAAGGTGAGACATGGGGCAAACAGCAGTCATAGCCGCAGAAGTAACAAAGGAGTAATAACAACTCAGGATCTTTTTGATTCTCTAGAGGCCAGGCACTATTCTAAGCATGTAAATATGAATTGGCCTTTAATCATAAAGTCGTGCCAGTAGAACTACTGTCCTCTAAGTCACAGATAGGGAAAGTGAGGCATGAAGATGGCTGAAGTAATTGCCCAGTTAAGGGACAAGGTAGAACCAGAATTGGATCCCAGGCCAGATGTGTGCTGAGCTGTGCTGATCAGGCCTGTTGACCTTACAGCCGTTACCTGAAGAGGTCCCATCCTAACGTTCAATACAGGGGTCCCCTAGCTCTGCTTCTCACTCTCTGTGTTTCTGGCTACACCATTCTACCCTGTTATCCCAGAGCTGGGCATCCCTGATGGGAGTTCCTTGTGGGCCTGGACAAGCCATTGTGGCTCATATTGCTCACAGTGAAATTCCTAAGAGCTGGGTATTTCGGCATGGTGCTATCTGTTTGGCCTTCCCTCCTGACCATGTCCTGCACAAGCTGCCTCTGCAGTCAACTACCCGACTGACCCCAGGACTGCCTGCCATAAAGAGGGTCTGGGGTAACCTGCCCAGGTCAGTGGTCTACACTGGCTTAGCTGGTCAGAATGAGTGGTCTTCCACAGTCCTTCACTTTCTTTCGTGTGTTTTCAGGAAGGTGCGTTTGCATTGGTTTTCAAGAGTATTCACTACCCAGGAGAAGCTGTTGCCACAAGGTAAGGCAAGTGCATTGTAAGTAAGTAAGATGAAATCAGTTGGCTTAGGGTCTCTTGCAAACTGCAAAGTGCTTGTTGGATCTAAAGGAAAGCTGAAAAGCCTCAGACACTGCACTGTGCTGTCTCAGCCAGTGGAACTAAGACTCCCAATACTCTTAAAAGGGAAAACAGAAAGTTGGATTTTTTTTTTAATATGAAATCTCTAGATTTTTAAAAGTTGAAAACAAATTCAGATTAAAAATAAAAGTATTGGGGGCTTCACAAGCCTGACTAACCAATTGAATTTGATCCCTAGAATCCAGATAAAGGAGGAAGAAAAAGAACTGACTCCACAAAGCACCTCCCAATAATTAACTAATTAATGAAAACTTTTTGTTGTGTTAAAAATATTTTACTTTTATTATTTTTATTTTTATGTATATGACTGTATTGTCTGCATGCATATAAGTGCACCCATGTCATACAATGCCTGAGGAGGTCAGAAGAGGGTGTTGGATCCTCCTGGAACTGGAGTTACAGGTGGTTGTTAGCTGCCATGTGGGTGCTGGGAACTGAACCCAGGTCCTCTGTAAGAACAGCCAGTGTTCTTAACCACTGAGCCGTCTCTCTAGCCCCTGTTGTTTTGTTTTTGAGACAAAGTCTCACTATGTAGGCCTGACTGGCCTGGAACACTCTATGTAGACCAGGCTAGAACTCAGAGGTCTATCTGCCTCTGCCTCCCAAGTGAGGGGATTAAAGGCATGTGCCACCACATCGATCCTTAATTTAAATGTTTTAAAAAATAATAAAAGTGTTAGGGCTGGAGAGACTGCTCAGTCAGTAAAGCACTTGCCCTGCAAGCATGAGGACCTGAGTTTGATCCCCAACATGCACATAAAAAACCTGGGCATGGTAACGGTAACACACACTTGTAATCCCAGCACTGCAACAGCAGAGACGGGCGGATCCCTGGGGCTCACTAGCCAGCCAGCCTATCTAATTGATGAGCTCTAGGATCAGTGACAGACCCTGTCTGAAAAAAGCAAGGTAGATGGCTCCTGAGAAACAATATCTGAGGCTGACCTTTGGCCTCCACATGAACTTGCACACACATGTACTCGTGCACTCCCCCATAAATCAAAAACAAAACAAAACAAAACCCCCAAAGTATATAGAGGGTTCAGATCCAGGTTTTGTTGGGCTCAAAACCTATATAGCTTAAGGAACTCCTTTTAGGAAGAAGCATGGAAAGCTAGGAGCATGAAATGAACCTAAGTGAATGTTGTTTTGGATCTAATACTAAAAAGTCCTTGCAGGCCAGCGAGATGGCTCAGTAGTAAAAGTGTTTGCTGCCAAGCCTCATAACCCGGTGTAATCTCTGGAACCCATAGGGTGGAAAGACAGAACCAACTCCTACCCGTTGTCCTCTGACCTCCATGTGAAGCTGTCCCCATCACACATTTATTGTGTGCCCAGACACATTCACACACACAATAAATAAATATAATTTTTTTTTGGTCTTTTTGAGGCAGGGTCACCCTGTAGCCCCAGCTGTCCTGGAACTCACTATGTAGACCAGACTGGCCTTACACTCACAAAGATCCACCTGCCTCTGCCTCCCAAGTGCTGGGATCAAAGGTGTATGCCACCATGCCCAGAAAATATAGTTTTTTTAAAAAAGTCCTTGAAGGCCCAAAGCTCATGCCTCATCATCTCCATGGTGGGGATGTTCTAGGAAGTAGCCCACAAGTCCTGGTCAGTCCACACACCCCTTTGTTGTAGCCCCTCAGTGCTGCTTAGATGAAGTGTTGTCTTGTTATTTTATATTTAGATGGTTTGGTTATCTGCCCACCAAACCATTCAACTAATATTTGCTGAACACTCATTGTGTGGGGGACATCCAGTATGATCTCTGCCTGTGAGACCTGGATGCTTGTGCCAGAGGACAGAGAAGGGCAGAAGATGATGATGCTCTGTGGTGGGGGCTGGGAAGGTGTGGGCTCGGGGGTTGAGGGGAGTTCAGGTATCAACCCAGGGGAGGCAGGAAATAGGAACTTCTTCCCAGGTAGAGGGAAGAACAAAAGGCCCAGATAGAGTATGGCACTCCAGCTTCCCACTCTGCATGTGTGGTCGCAGGGTAGCAAGGTCCCTGAGTAGAGCATCCTGTCTCCATGTGTGTTTACTGACACTGAGGGCAGGCTTGGGGGCAGCAGAGAATCTGGTGGTGGGACATTCATTGCCCCATGAACCTGATGGGCTGGTGGGGGGTGGAGACTCAGGCAGAGGCCCAACTCCAAGGAGCCTCAGTGCTCTTCAGGCCACAGACTTCATTCTAAAGGCACAGAGGAACCACGGAGAATGTACATGTGGTCCTGGGAGACCTGGGCAGACAGTGAAGCTGTCCGTTAAAGGCCATCACAGTATCTAGAAAATCATGGGAACCTGTAAATTTTATTGTTTTTCCCAGGACTAATTTGTCAGTTGAAATGTAATTCCATGAAATCATAGAATGACAAAATACCATTTGGTCCGTAACAAATTTAGAAGCTTTAAAATCTCGTAATATGATATTGCTATTTTAAATGAGTGTAGTGTGAAGGAGTAATAAAACTTGGATTTTCTAACTTGTCTGTAATGAATGGCTCATGATGTCCAGGACCACCTTTGGGATATTTTAGGAGGATTCTGTGTCCTAATCCACAGAGCTCAGCCTACAACAATAGGATCTTGGGAATCATCTACCCAGAAAACTGGATAAACACACATTTTTTCACTATCATTATTTGAGAGACAATTTAAGCTAGTTCTTCAGCGAACCCACAACTAGGTCTCTGATTAGTTTTAGACAAAATAAAGGGTTGCACAAAATATTCAAGGCATTCGAAGAACCTTTTTATCAAGCTGTGATCCTTGTCCCCTATTTCGAGAAATCAGAAGATAGGTCCGAGTAAGTCAGTATTCCCAGAAAACAGGTCTGTTGTTGCTGAACACATAATAAGGGCCTGTGTGAGTCACATGGTGGTAGACCAGATGCATATTCATGGCTACTGAACAGGTGATTCAAGAGCACATTGGTCTATATGAGGAAACGATTAAGGTAAAATAGTACCTCATTATGCTGAATGCATAAGCTTGAGACAGTCCTCAGGTGGTCTTAGTAGAACATACTCAGTGATCTTATTTTTAAATTTTTTATGTATTCATTTATTTTTGGTCTTGTTGAGACAGGATCTCCCTATAGTCCCAGCTGGCCTGGAGCTCGCTATGTAGATCAGGCTGGCCTTGAACTCACAGACATCCACCTGCCTCTGCCTCCCAAGTACTGGGATTAAAGACGTGTGCCACTACACCTGGCAAAATTTTTATTTATTTTTATCTTAAGTGTATGAGTGTTTTGTATGTGTATGTAAATGCACCCATGTTGTGCAGTGCCCACAGAGGCCAGAAGAGGGTATCGGATTCCCTGGAACTGGAGTTAAGGATAGTTGTTAGCTGCCACATGGGTGCTGGGAATTGAACCCGGGTCCTCTTCAAGAGCACCCAGTGCTCCTAACCACTGGGTCATTTCTCCAGCCTCTCCATCGTATTTTTTGAGAAAAGGTCTCTCACTGAACCTGGAGCTCACCCATTCAGCTAGGCTGTAGGCTAGTTGGCCAGTGAATTCTAGGAATCCTCCTGTGTCTCTGCCTCCCACCTGCCTACTCTGACTGGGATGACAGACACAGGGCCACCCATTGTGTCCAGCTTTTTTAATGGGTTTTGGGGATCCAAACTCAGGCCCCCAGCTTGCATGGTAAACACTGTACTAATGAGCCATCTTTCCACCCTACACTGGAGTTCCAGAATGGAGAGAGGGGTGATGAGAACTATTGTATTGCAACTTTGCCTGCCTGGGTTCTGAGACCCAGAGATCTAGAATATGTATAAGTTACAAAAGAGATCTGCTTATTTTATTTGTGCCCTGTAATTTATAAGAGTGAAGAATTAGATTTTGAAGACAAGATGCTATTAAAATCATGGGCTAATACCTTAACCACACAATAGGAGTTGTGAACTAGAAAGGAAGGAGGCCCAAGTTAGAGGCCCTCACCTGGTCGGCTGCAGTCATTCCCCCAAATACTAGCTTTGGGAAATCATTGTTCCCTTTGTGATGAAATCCACTTTGTATAGGTCAAAGATTTTAAATATCCTTTTAGGGGGTATTGTTCAGGTGACGATAAAACTACCCTGAAAATGCGTTTTTGTAGGCAAAAAATAGAGTACAGACTTTACTTAGTATCTCTGGGGGTCCTAGAACTAAAGCCTGCACAGATATACCCACATCCTTGGATGTTCAAGTTCCTTGTATAGAATTTGCATAGTGCAGTATTTGCATTTAGTTTTTAGATAGCTTTCCATCATCTCTAGATTACTTATAATTCCTAATACAATGGAAATGCCTTGTAAATAGCTGTCATACTGTATTCCTTAGGGAACGATAGAGGAAAAGTCTGTACAGGTTCAGTACAAATGCAATTTCTTCTACCTTTTTTCTATAGGTGTGTGTGTGTGTGTGTGTGTGTGTGTGTGTGTGTGTGTGTATACATGTGGACTAGATCAATTCCTAGTAGCTAGCATTTTTCACATGTTAGGCAAACACTGTACAACTGGGATGTATCCCAAACCTTGATTGTTTTCCACTTTTTTATTTTGAGACATGATCTTTCTAAGTTGCCCAAGTTGGCCTTGAAGTTCAGCCTCCCAAGTAGTTGGGATTACAGGCCTGTGCCATCAAGCTCAGCTTTTCTGAATATTTTCTGTCTACATTTTCAGTTGGTGGTTGATTCCGCAGGTGGGAACTGTATACAGTATAGTCAGCTAGTTTGATGTCCATGAAGGCTAGAGAACAACTTAGCTATGCAAAAGGAGGCACAAAAGGGGTCCCCAGGCAGATCCCAAGCACTGAGCACTCTTGCTCTGGGGCTTTACAGCAAATGAAACCTGTGGTGTGGACAACCCAAAGTGTTCCTGCTTGTGTCTGTGCCTACTCTGATGGTGGATGCTCAGCTCCTGTGACCTAATTGTATGGGTTAACTACTTATAGGGATCTAAAGAACTGAAAGAGTCCCAAGTCTCATGGAAATGGGGAAGAATGGGTTACCAGGCTGATTGGTCAGGTGGCTGAGGACGTCTGAGTGGGCTGACATTTCCCTGCTCCAAACTTGGAGAACATCTCTTCATGGTCAAGATGTCCCTTCCATGTGACTTAAGCACCGACTTCTGCTCCAGGGATGGGGCTGGCTTTGGAGGGCCCACTTGAGATGCTAGGAAGACACTTGAGTGTCCAAGGTGATAGGTAACTTGGTACCTTCTCTCTGCAGGAGAGGCAGCCCATTGCTCATCGGAGTGCGGAGCAAATACAAACTCTCCACGGAGCAGATCCCCGTCTTATATAGGACATGTGAGTTTCCCAAGAAGGACTTGAATAGTGCAGCGACGGGGTGGCAGACCTGGTGCAGCCAGCTCTCCTCTCCCCTGCCTCACGCCGTCTTGGACCCAGCTGCCATGTGGCTCTGGGTTTCAGAGATTTTCATGCATGGACACTTGGCTCTGTCTTTTAAAAAGCATTTCACTATGGATATTTTCAGACATACACAGAAATAGAGAGAACATCAGGCAGCTGGGTAGAATTGTGGCCTGCCCTGATTTGAGTTTCTTTGGTTTGTTTTCCTTTGCCTCACTCTCCCACTATAGCCATTTAAATGCTCTTTCAGTGGTGCTGAGCTATTTGGGGAGCTTTTACGTGATTTGGCTGGCACAGGCATAGCTAAAAATTGCAGATTCCTCCCACACATATTCAAAAGGGGACAATGGGTCCCTTGCCACGTGCTGTGCAAGTGGAGCAGCCTACCAAGACTTGCAATCCATTCCGTTGTTTACTAGGCAATATCGAGAATGTGAAGAATATCTGTAAAACAAGAATGAAGAGACTGGACAGTTCCACCTGCCTGCACGCTGTGGGCGATAAAGCAGTTGAATTCTTTTTTGCTTCAGATGCAAGGTAGCTAAACCTTTTCGTTTTTTTCCTGGGATTATGTAACCAAAGAATAACTATCTAAACACCGTGTGTGTGTGTGTGTGTGTGTGTGTGTGTGTGTGTGTGTGT